CTTGCTTATTCTCTGCATCACTTAGCACAATCTGAAGACCACACAAAGTCATTTTCAGCTTCTTTAAGAGCCGAATGTGATGCTTATGCTTCTGAAACATGTTGAGAAGACAAATTCTCTATCTTCAACTACTAAGATAGAACTTTACTTTACCTGTTGAATGTTAAGAGTAATTTGCAAACAAGAATGATCAGTGATTGCTCTCTCTCTCTCTCTTTTGCTTGTATTTAGTAAAACTGTCCTTTTTTCTCTTTTCAAAAAGTATGACTCAACTAATTGAATAATTGAGGCAATAGAGGAAGGTATCTTTTGCTTTATGTCTATTCATTACTCTTGCCTTATACACTTGGCCATAATTAGGCCTAACATATCATGAATACGTTTTAGAAATGTGAAGAATTAGAATCTGTTCCATTTTCCTTTTCTCTAAGGTATTATTTTTTCTATGTTGACATGAGCCGAGGGTCTATTGGAAACAACCTATCTACCCTACAAGTAGTGGTAAGGTCTGCATACTACTTGGTATATTGTTGTTTCTATTTTTCTATGTTGAAGGTCCTATTTAGGTCCATGTACAACTCTGTCCCAATGGATAAACTGAAAACAACGATCCACCGTTTTATTTTTCTTTCAAATTAAGAAAAGGAAAAATAAAGAGAGAAAAATCAAATAGATATCAAAATACCTTTTCTCCATGTTAGCAAAACAAATTAACAAGAAAGTGGAAAATAACAGTGCTTGGTTCCAGTAGAATTTAAAAAATGAATTGTATGTCACTATATATACTTCGGTACGATATTTGGTATTTCTGTATTTTTTTATAATTATCAAATACTATGCTGAATACCAAACTTTTTTAAAATGCATACCAAATACCATGAAACTCAAACCACAGTGTTAATAATTTCAATTTCGATATGGTATTCGGTATCTATCATACCATGACATGTAGTAGGTGGATGTGAATGTGAATTAGCAAACCTTATTTCATCTCCCAACAGGATTCTAAAAGGAGAAAAAGGTAGTTTTAGTTCATTTGAAATAGTGTTCTTTTTTCTTCTCCCAGCAGGATTATAAAACTTTAGAAACTTTGATCTTAATGATGGGATATGCTTGTAAGTATGCAGTTGTTACAGGATCACAAGGGAATTGGCTTCGAGATTGTAAGGAAGGATAAAACTGATCATTCCTACCTTCCCAGACCCCATTTGTGTGATTACACTGGCTGTATGGTTCTTTTTCCTGCTTGATATCATTTAGTAGTTCGTTTCTATTTGATATCTTGAAAGTGTAGATCATGAGCATGATATCACATCATTTCATACATTGAAAATCATAATATCTAAGAGATAAGTCTCTAAAATTGTGATAACATTAAAAGTTGAGGTACCAAAATGGTCATTACAAAGCAAACTGATTATAAGCTGAAGTGAAATCCTAAAAACTAGTCCAGCACTGAAGCAAATGACTCAGTTTGAACTGTTCCATTTACGACGGTTATGCACGAGAGAAATTGTGTAATAATCTACTGTAAACTGACGAGGCACTCTCGTGTATCGAGAAATTTTTCTAAAAAATGTGTGAGCTATCTTAGCCTGATTTCAATCTCCAATCTGGAAGCAGAGGGACAAGAAGAGTCGATTTTTCATCCTTTGAGATCGAATGTTTGTATTTCAGTGTATAATACTCAGTCAAGGGAATAAATCTTGAATGTCAAGGATATCAGCTAGGACACCAGCTGCTGTGGTATCATTTCCTACTCCAGCACCTTGGATAACCAAAGGTTGTTTCTCGTAACAACGGCTGTATATCTCCACCTGCAGACGAACGAATTGCAGATGTTCAATCATCATAGTCATTCTTCGACAAAAGCAAGTCATTAATCTTACTGATTGTATGACATCCTAAGTACAAGGGATACATTTTACAATTAAGGTAGAATCAAAGCATTTAACTGCACAAAGTTTTTCAGGGCGACAACGAGATGATGCGTAAAGAGTAAAGACAAAGTAAGGCGTTAGATATGGTTGAACCTCCATAGCAGTTAAAATCAAAGCATGATGTTATAGATCACTACACTAAATGACATCACAAAAAGGCTTTAAACATTGACAACGCGTATGATATGGTTGAACCTCCATAGCAGTTAAAAGAGCATTCCCAACGGAAAACAAAGTAATGGAACAAGAAGAAGAGGGACCAAAGAAACAGCAAAATGGGAGGTGAAAGTGAACAATGCATACCACATTATCACTTCCTCTTTTGGAACTTCTGAAAATGAGAGATTTTAATGTCATGTACACAAAAGTGTTTTCAATAATCAATTTTTCCCCAAGCAGCAGACAGCCAGACACTTTCTTCTGTGCTATTTGTTTTCAGTGAAGCTGTTTGTAGCTGTTTATTTTGTGAAAAATTAAAGTTGATTTTATGGAGGTACCAAAAATATTTTAGATATTTTCTAGAATTTGGTAGATTAAATTATCTTTGAAATTTATACTTAAGAAAAATCTAGATGTTCTAGATAATTAGATATTTATAGTAAAGTATAGAAATATCTAGATTCTTGTTACATAGTTAGAAGATAAGGTATCTAGAATAATTTCTAGAAGCATCCCTATACAAGTATAAGTAGGGGTGACATTAGGCATTTGTAATCAACCCAAGAACAACCCAAACAAAGACAATTCAAGAGTCTTCTTCCATAAACAAAGTTCTCCTTTCCAGCTTCCTCTTCTTTAGTTGAATCTTCCGATCTTAGTTAACAGTCTTGGGCTAGCAGAAGACTTCCTAAATTATACTTTTCTTCTGCTATTCTGTACAGATTTTACTATAAACAAAGAATTGAGTGGTCTTAGAGTATCGTATATTTGATTCTTAGCCATTTTCAGTTGAGTTATATAGTTGTTCCATATGGGTTGAAATTTGAATAGAGGCTTTTCAAAGGAATTTATAAGGTTTTACGTTCTCATCACATAATATCACAACCGTCCTTTTGTAAGCTTATTCTCACACTCTTAAGTCCATATTAATTAAAGTCCATGTGAACCTCAAAATCTGGTTACACATGTGAGAGGGTGTTGAGTTATGCAGTTGTAATCTTCCAAAGGGGTTTATGTGGCATTCGGCAATCTTCATGTCACAAGCTAAGTTTTGGGTGGAGTTAAACCCTAGAGGAACACTTGCCTGACAGGAAAACGAGTAGAAATTTGGATAAATGTATGAAGATGCACTGTAAAGTAGCATATAAAAGAAGAATTCATGTGTAAGACATTTGTCTCACACATTCTCTTAGTCGCTTCTCGTGCTTCTCTGACTTCTCTCACATTCAAATTAATCCTAGACAAACTTCCGAAGCAGAAGGCCAGAAAATATTATTGTACCAGAGGAACACTTGCCTGACAGGAAAACGAGTAGCAATTGCTCATAGAAAGAGCAACATATAAACAAAAAAAGTAAGACTACACTTAATTAAAAATAGACAATATCATATCTTCAACCACTACTTTCTGTTTTTGTAAGTCATATCTTCAATTCTCATATGGTGATTTTACAAACATTAATAGGGTGGTTGTAACTTATCACCTGGTTCAATGTAGCCAAGGCGTTTAGCAGCATTAACGACTGGGCTGAATGGCTTTCCATCCTCAACCTCACTCATTACATACCCCAGGGTACCTGTTAGATACCAAGATATATGACATCTTACCATCAAATGCTTCTGATGTTTATAACAAGCAAGATAACCACTAAGGATAATCAATTGCTCTTGCATATAAAAAGGTGTTTAGCTTTTTTGTCTGCCTCCTTTACCTATCAAGGGTTCTGTTAACATTGTAGATGAAACTCTCTTACCTCTTTCACACTGTGGGTCTATATCTTCATCCCAGATTCTTCATGATAGATTCTATTTTCCTCCTATAAAGAAATTTTTCTCAGTCACCTTCCAGCTAACCATCTTCGTGTCATCGTTTCTTCTTCTGAGTGTCTTATCCATGATCAGCGCACGGGAAGGATCATTGGCTGGAAGAGGAAATCTGGGCAACGGAACCTCTCAGCACCAAAGTTAGTAACTTTTCCATCAGGCAATTCATAGTCAAATGCCACATTGGAGGCTGGAGGCAGGAGGATGGTGATTCACCCTCCCTCCTCTCTAGTTCATGCATCATATCAGCTTCTGGCTTCCACTAACAAAATAAACAATGAGCTCAGTTCCGCATAGAATATCCTTTAAAAGCTAGGAATTAAGCAGCAAAATATATTGTTTTGCCTAGCTTTTTTAGAACATGTTGATCATTCGACGTTTTTCCTTTCCAACATTAGATTAACACATATGCATAAACTTGGGTCAGAAATTAATTCAGTGAAATGTGAATTAGGTGACATCAACTTAGCAAACACTTCATAAAGGCATTTGACAATTTCTCATCTTCTATAGAATCGAGGCATGTATTATAACCCAATCAGAAGACATGTAAAACTAAAGATAAAAGAAGATCAGCATAAAAATAAATATTTGAATCAACAGATGTCAATCATATGTTAAACAACTTTCGAACAATGAAAACAATATTTTCAAAAGCAATTTCCCACTTTAAGTATCTGAATAGCAGTAGAAAACCGATATACTCCAACATCATTGAGATGTAAGGTGGGGCAAAACCAATATAAGCATCGTGGTGAGGAAGAAAGAAGAAAAAATATTTGTACCTTTGTAACTTTCTTACATCTATCGGAGCCCCACTTGTTTTAATCATTTAAGGTTCTCCCAATCAACATTTATGGTTTGAGCAATAGACACTCCACACTGCTCAACAAGGTTTAAAAATGGAAAAGAATTAACTAAAAAGCAAAGTGAAGTAAACAAAAAATAAAAAACTTCTGAGGGAAAAGAATAACTTACATCTGTTTGAGAGTCATTTGTTTTAATCATCACATGCATTCGAAATCGATATATAAGATGGGAATTTGAGCAATATTTGGCCAGTATTTCCCCTTGTTAAATTTTAGTAGTGGTTTGAGCAATGGGCAGTCGTAAATATCTAGTTTAGAGAGGGAAGAGGGCATCTCTTTTAATGGAAGGGATTGGAGCTTAGGGCAAATCCAAATTTAGTCAGACTCCAATGTGAACACCAAACACCGAATGAGAAAACAATATATCCACTATAAAAATATATAACACGTTGCTAACTACGGAAATAATATACATATCCATCTTCAGTTGCAATTGTTGTTCAAAATCATCTAATCAAATCTCCATCAAATGTCTTCAAATTTTATAGAGACAATCTCTTTAAACTATTCCAACAAATCTAAACAACACTTCAGATTTCTCACACACACACATAAAAAAAAGACACGATTTGAAATTCAAATCCACTTCTTCGAGCTTATTCAATCATCGCGAGTTATCTTTCTAATTTGATTTTCCGTACACAAATCTTACAAAATCAGATTCTAACCACTAGTTGAGTCCCAAACATATTTACAAATCGACTTTATCTACTTACAAAAGACGCTTGCACTGGAAACATGAAATAGTATCAACGGTATAGCCCCATCTTGAAGACATGCCTATAACAGCAGACCTGAGTTCACTGTGGATAACATAGTAGCTTTAGCGGAAAGAACAAAAAAATAAAAAACAACTCGTGAACATATGTAAAAAATAGCAGCAACACCTTAGAAGCACTTCTTGTGGACAATGGATGGACCAGACTTGTCGTACTCACCCTTCAAAATCCACATCTGATTAAGCACAGAACATGTTCAAGTTAGCAACATGTACAGTTCAAAATAAAGTTTAAAATTGCAAAAGTATATGCAAGAGAAGATATTTGAAGACAGTGATTTTATTACTCGTTGGATAAACACCCTGCAAATGTATATCTGAAGCTCTTACATCAAGCATTGCCCTGTGTAGTTGTCTGGTCGCTATCCAAGAAATATAGAATTATATAACATCTAATTATTCTGACAATGGAAGTTGCACTTATTTCCTAAAACTTGTGATCGTTATCCCTGATTATCTTTTAAAAAATATAGATTCTCTATGAAGCTTAAATATAAAGCTATGTGTTTGATGATGAGCACAACATCATCATATATCATCATATCATATCATATATCATATTATATTAAAAGTGGAAAGGTTCAAAATACAAAGTTGAATTACCATTTTATTCCTAAAATAAATCAAAATAATATAAAACAAATGTTGTGCCGTAATTGTCCTATATTTAGAAAAATTACTTTTTTTGAAATGTTCTAAGTATAAAACATTTTAAGAAAAATACTTAGAAAGAGTCGCCACTTAATTTTTTAAAGAAATTAAGAAAACTTATAATTTCCAAAGATTTAAACAGAAAAAATCATTTGAAAATACCAAAAGAGGGTTCGGGGTTCAATTTACACTTCGAGAAGGGGTTTAAGCATTCGAAGTGTCCGCTAACATGCGGTTGACCTGCGACTTGACTTAAATATATTTGACTATTTTTAGAAAAAATAAATAAAATAATTTAACATAAAATAATAATAACTTATAACATATTTGATTAAGAAAATAATTAAATAAATGACGCATTTTATTTCATCTTTATTTTTAGAGAAAAGGGACCTAAAATGAAACATTTGACTTAAGATACAAGTGATTAGAATATTAATAAAACTAAATTAATTAGAATTTATTTAATTCACTTTAAAATAACTTAAACCAATTTAATATATTAAAGCATGAAAATCATTTCGAATTAATTGTAAAATAAAAGTTTTAACTAACATTTTTGCGAAAATGACTAAGTAAGTATTTAATAATTTACATTATTAGATTAACTTTGAGAAAATAGTTAAACAAAGAGCAATTTTTTATTTTTTAAGAAAATGGGACCCTATTTAAAATATTTGAATTAGAGACAAGTAACTTAGAATTTTAACGAAACAAAATGAGCTGGTTTTTATTTGAGTCATTTCTGGTTTATGAAAAAACTATTTTAAACTAAAAAAATAAAAGAAAAAGTTTTGACTAAAGATTATAAATGACAATACAAAAGTTGATAAAATAAGTTTTGTTAGAAACAAAACAACTCAGATGAATAGTTCGTCTTTTGGGGAATTCAACTAAGTTAATTAAAAATTCTAAAGTCAGAGTTAAACAACAAATAATAAGTAATCACAATTAAATAATTAGCGGGTAAGGGAGAAATTGAATTTGGGCCTTTCTTGGGCCAAATTCGCTACTTTTTTGGAGTTTAACACAATTCCCGTTTTTGGTATACAGCTGATGTATATCAGTGTATATCGGCGTGTATATCAGCCTTTTCTTGCTTTTCGAGACCTGTACGTCAACTCCAAAGACTTGTTCTTCAATTTTTCAAGTTTGGCTGACTCGATATAAGGATTTTGGACCTTATGGCCCTATCTTCGAGTGACAAGGAGAAGAGATAGAGTCCGTGAGGACTCGGGTCGGGTTTTCACATGCATAAACAAATGAAAAGGAACATAAGTAATGCTCAAAGTAGTTCATAATAGAAAATAACGCAGCATGATATTTTTTGAAACAATAACCCAAAGGGGAATGATTTACAGAGGACAATTAAAAATGAAGGGGCAGAGACTTCCTTAATGAAAAGTTAACAGCATGTCACATATGATAATTAAGCTAAACCATCAATAACATCAACTTTAGCAAGAACACAATTAATACATAACTTACCTATTTCTAAGAGCATCAAAATAAAATATTCAAACCCATATATGACAAATTGAAACTAAACCAATATAATTACTCTAACAAAACTCAACTTCATATTAACAAACAAATGCTCCCACAACAAATTTTTCTAATGAACACTTTTCAGTTCTTCATTCATAATCCACAGAGGAAAACAAAAAAAAAACAAGTCTAGTGACCTCAACTTAACAGAGGAAACAAGCGTACATCAAATGGTCATATTTAAACAATAATAAATGCATGAGTAGGAACTATATTAAACTAATCACTATGACCCTTTTGTTATAATAAAAGCATGGTTTAACACCTTAAGTCGACTACTAAAGGGGCTGGACAGGTAGGTTAAAGGAAAGAAACAATTATGCCTCAAAGCACCGACTAGTATCGAAGAACAAAAGATGGAAATACATAACGACCGACTTACGAGATACAAGAAAAGATATACTAAGAATGCATCGCTAGCTTAAGCCAAAACGAAATGGTACTCACATGATGTTATAACAAGTCAAGATCGTGAAGAAAGTACATTATCATTTACCCGATGAACAACTACAACATTGAATAAAATTTCCAGATTTTTGATTAATGAATAACACCAAAACAGATCAAACCACACTCAGAAAGCAAAGGAACAATCAGATTCTCTAGCACATTTTCGAAAGCGAAACATTTCCGATATAAAAAGCAAGATACACAATTAGGAATAGATTAACTACGAGTGAATGATCCGAGTTAAAATAAGACTAAGGCGAATTGTAAACATGATATCACGAGTTGAAGACGCAAAACTGACATGAACAGTATTTGAGTTAAACAAGAACATAGATAAATACTACGGGATTAGACTAGCGATAGTGGTAATCTATAACGATGAATCAGACAGCAGAGAAGAAAAAATATAAAAAAATAAAAAAAATTTGGCTAAACGATGAAAGGACAGAACTATATAGCTTAATGTATTCAAAGTCGAAACTATATGAACTGCAAAAGAACTTCACTGATATTTACTTCATGCTCACAGTCCCAATAACTCACAGGAGAAAACGAAACTGAAAGCAAACGACTAAAATAGAGAAATCAACTAATCCTAATAATTGGACTCCACTAGATATCGAACACATAACACACACTACATAGAAAACATAATGCAAGAAAGGGCGAGATTACCTCAATTGGAGCAGCGACTGGACGACAACGAGCTTGAGAGCAACGATTCTTTTACCATGAACTTCGAATAGGAACAACAAACTAAGAAAATCCAAGCGTCGATCCTCTCGTATCTTAGATTCAAAAAACTAGCTATGAAAATTTCCAAGTGTGTGAGTGAATATTTGTCTCAAAACTAAACTCCAAAACTCAAAAAAAATCTCCCCTGCCTCTTTTCTCCCTCTCAAACAGGGACCAAAGAGATGATTATATAGCTGGAAAACTTTTAGGAAATCGGGTGAACCCCTCCCCTTTTATAGTGAACAGAACAAGGGTATATATAGGGGAGATTCGAATTGAGAAAGGGGGGAAAAACGAATTGAAAAGATGGATAAGGATGAAATTCAAAATTTGAATTCTCCTCCTCCTTACCCAGGGCAACAATGAAGGTATAGGAGATTTCTGAAACGGGAAAAGTGGGGATAGGAAGTGATGGCTGCTGCAGGCGCGATTTACTCGCTGGATTTCTGGGATTTTTCACTGAATTTTGCAGCACAGAGTTGCTGGGTTTCACACGCAAGGAAGAAGAAAATGCAAGGAGGTGGGGTCGGTTTTGGTATTGTATGTTGGGTTTGCTGTACGTATTGTTTTATTGAAGGGAATGGGCTGCTGAGGAATTGTTGCTGAAGTGGGCTGGTATTAAGGGTTGAATAGTGGGCTGTAGTTGGGCTGAAGCAAAGGAAATGGGTTGAAATAATAGGGTCTAAGATTAGAGGCAACAAAATGGTTAGGATTGCAATTGGAGAGATGACCCAATTATAGTCAATTGTAGTTAATAATTTAGCCAATAATGGAGTTAATTAGCAAATTCGGCGAAAACCTAAATAAGATGAATCAATATTAATTAATTAACAAGCTTCTTAATCTTAACGAAATAAAATAATTAACTCAATTATAAACTAACTAATTTAAATAACTCAAAAATTATAATTATAATTTATACTAAACTAATTTAATAAAATACTTACTAAAAGTTTAAAATCTTTTTTGATATGATTTTCGAAATGTTTATAGAATATACTAATTATATACAAAATTATATAAAGCATATATATTACATAAAAATTATAAAAATGATAAAATTGATTAAAAGTAACTTGAAAAATATTTTGAACTTTACAAAGTCAATTATTTCAAATCGTTTAGAATTTAGGAAGCTCGATGATCAATTTATATTGGGGAGGGTCAAAATTGGGTGTCAACAACTGTCCCTCGTTTGCCTTGGATTGATGCAAGAAATTCGAGGAAAATGAAATTGACTAATCCAATTTTGATCGACCACATTCTCATCTTTAGGAAAGGGATTTTGGTATGGGCTTTAGGAATTATGGCTGAATCTCGTTATCAGGTTTCCTATATATCTCAAGCTATATGAGAACTCAGGCCACTTGTAGTTCTATACGCTTGATTTGACGCACGATTTTGAAAGAATTCAAAAGCAATCCTGATACCGTATTATGAAGAGACCAGAATGCTCGAGAATAAGATTTGAGAGATGATGTCGGAATACAGCCGAGTTTTCAACACCGATCTCGCCTACATATCCCTTAACTTAAGGAATCAGGCTGCTTGTAGTTCGACTCTATCGGTTGAAAAGGAAATCTATTATGTTAGATCACCTTTGGTTTCAAAAGAGCGACAAAGTAAGTCGAGTATGAAAAAGAGGCTTGCAACCTCTTAGCCATGAATGTGGTGCACTTCACACCCATAATTAAGAACTTACACGGACATAATTTCTAAAGCTCTTGGTACATTGTCACTCAGATTGGAAATTTGCTTTCGGTAAAGACCAAAAAGTTTCCGAATGCGAAACTAAAACTGACAAACCCAAAGATAAACCCACATGCCTTCTGATAGGAGTGTGGTTTGATTGTGGTGGAAGTCACTTCCTCTGCTCGCGTCCTAAGAGTTTGATATTCCTCTTTGGACTATGTCCCAGTTCGCTGCTAAGAAAAAGTTTCACGTTGTGCTGCATCCTTTTTTATGTCGTCCGCACCTGTGGTTTGTTTTGGAGAATTCATCCTTTCGGATGCTCTCGACAAAGACTGAGATAAAACTCATTAGCATAAAAAATGCAATTCAAATGGGAGACAGTGTCTTTTACCGTGTTGACACTTAATTGTTCTCCTTGAACATTTGACGTCAACTCTATTGGGTTTGACGTGAAGCAAATAAATTTTGTGTCTCATATTTGCAATATAATCTTCAATGT